TAGAAGACGTTACCACTAAAAGCGATTACCGATTTTTTGCTGGGTAATAGCTCACGCTCAACTCATTTCCGACGCTTTCGCCTTTCTACTCGCTTTTGACTAAGTGGGTGGCAGTCGTTTGCAATCAGTGACTGTCAATTGGTTGCTATTGTTGCAAGTGGCTATCCGAACGTTGGCGGCGCATGAGAGTTGATGAGTGTAAGCAAAAAGTGTTACATATTTACATTCATACATATGCTATTGTTGCTACTTTTGCTCCTACTCGTCTACTTACTTACTTGTGGGAGTGGGTACTCTGCTAATTTCGGTTGACTTTATTGTCATTGCTGCTTTAGTTGTTTTTGTTGCATACATTATTCATCGATAGTACTTTTTATTATTTATTTATTAGCATAGCGCGATGTGTGTCACATTGTTTGCAAGTAAAATGATTAGTACGTATGAACTTAATGTATGAGTTTTGCAGTTGAAGAGTAGAAACGAAAGTAAAAAAAGAGAGTAGAGGTGAGTGTTGGGATTACCCTACAAGCAGCACTTAAATATGCGAATAAATAAATACTTACTGATTTTCCGCTTCACACATTTTATTGTGTTTTTCCCCTAATTTGTCGTATTTGATCGGGGTGTTGTCTCCCAAATGGGGGTATCCACGATTTACGCCCCTTCCGAAAATCAACTAGTCTTTATGATACGGATTTTTATAGCAGAAGTACACTCGAAGCTTCGCCATTGTGTTGTAAGTGGTGACCACTTCAGAAAAAAATTTCCGGTGTATGTTGTTTTGAACAAGAATCGAGCTAGAGTTGTTCCAGGGGAGAGTACGCACCTCTATTTTTGGCCTACGGTAGCCGATTTGCTAGCTTTACCTCAATTTTATTTAAAATGCTAAAGTTATGGGTACCTTGATGGCAGCGTCTAATAATGTTTGAAAGGATTTTTGAAAACATGAGATTTAGTTTACTGCAAATAAATTACTTTGTACCAAAAAGTTGGAATAATATTTCTTAAAGTATTATGAAATAGAGGATGATTCAGGGAAAGCTTAATAATATAAAAAAAAAAAATTAATAATTTTGTCTTATTGTCGACATGTACTATAACGGCCCATACCGGTTTTCCAAATATCTCAATACCTAACCCAGCTAACGCTTTAAGGTATCCTCAGCTCATCGGGAAATTGGCTAAATAAACCTACCGACGTGTTTTTCAATCCACTGACTCCGAATCTGAGGTCCGTTTGACTTGTAAAATTGCAACTTCTTTGCCATTTTTTCACAACTTTCGAAAATAACTCGAAATTTAGGAGGCGTACGAGTCAAACGGACCCCAGATTCGGAATCAGTGGGTCGAAATACATGTCAGTAGGGGTGGGTCTGGTTAAATGCACAAATCACTTTTTTTGTGACGGTGATATTAATTGCAAATTTGAAAGTAACACGCAAATTTGAAGTAGCACATGTGAAAGTAAGTAAAAGCTTGTAAAAAAAATTCCCGCATCCCTGGGTGAAAATCTCAATTTTGTTGTCCAGTGATTTGAGAAATTTCTTTCTGAACATTTTCATAGTAGCGTACATTGCCTTCTCTCAACGTACATATGTATGTATGTAGTTATTTATATCAGTTAGATATGAAATCTGGCGTTGCACGAAAGCCCACATGCTTTGTCGTATATTCGTTAATTTGCCGGCACATTCATATGCAATTACGAATAAAGAGATAGAGATAAATTCACGTGGGCATAAGCCAAGTAAAGACATACGTACATGCATACAAATGGTATGTAAACATGTAGTGTAGCGCCACTATTGGCGGGCCCCTAACTAACCGACGTGGAACGCTTTTGACAAGCACATTTACTGACTTACTCAACGCTTGCAACTTTAGTTTGTCTCTCGTCGCCGGCAGAGTAACAAGTTTTGCTTTCTGCACAAAAGCTTGTACAAAATCTTAAGCGCTGGTTATATTACTTCACCATTAAGCCCTAGCGTATTTTTTCATTGCTGTGGCCCGAATAAATATCAATTGGTGTGAAGTTTTTCGCAAGTTTGTGTACATAGAAAATTGAACAAAATTTATTGTTTCGACAAATCGATAAATTCGTGGGAGTAAAATGTCCGAGGAAGCAGATGTAAGTACATATGTATTTATAAGTAGAATGAATGTGTGCGGCAAGTAAATAAAGAAGAAGAAAAAAGTTATGGTGCATGCAGCGTCTGCCTTTCAAGCGCTTGGGATAATAAACGCTAGAAGCGGCACTTAAAATTTCAGTTTAACAACGGACGGCATACAAATTTTATTGTTTCCACTTTTCTGAGGAAAATTAAATACATGTAGGTAAGCCTACTTTAAAGGTAAGAACTACTTTAAAAGCAATTTAAAAAGTACTTTTTTACGAACTACAAACGGTTGGATATTAACATGGCCATGTCCTAGGAGAAAATCAGTTTTCCGACTCTGCTTTTTTTCAACTACTTTAAAATGCATTCGTACTAAAGAACTTCAAAGTCAGTATTTTTCGTTTGAATACGCTTTCGTTCTGCACTTCACAGATGCTTTTTTTTCAAGACTCAAGTTGTTTCTTTGGGTAAAAAGAGTATCAAAATTCACAACATTTACTCGCTGCATTTGTTTCAAAGTAGTTTTGCCATTAGTTGATTTAAAAAAAAAAAATCACTTCTTTCCGTCAGGGTACTTAGCCACCTGTAATCATGTAGAGTTGTACATACTCGTAAATATGTATCAACATTGTATCTTGTCGGACAGCTACATATCATTGCGCGAAGTAATTTTTGCGGTTTTTTTTTTATTTTTATTTTTCTTTCTGGCTCTTCGTTATTGTCTGTTTTCGCTTACTCACCTACTTTTCAATGAATCACACATATGTTGAGGGTCATTAATTTTCTCACTGCTCTTATTTCTGGTTACCTGTTTTAGTCGTTGTTATTTCTTGTTCAATGCTAACAAGTGAGTCAGTTATACTTTCAGTTCATTTGCTTCATTTTATTTAAAGAAAAAAATGTTGCTAATTATTTTGGTGCGTTTCCAGACATAAATATCGTTTTCCCGCAATTCAAGTGACTAAGCTATACTGATTAGATGAATAAGTGTTTTTTATTTAGGTTTTTTATTTGCCACGTTTTACTCTCAGAAAGAAATTTAGAAGATGCAAATACATAAACATATTTTTAAAAAATACCCAAAAAGAGCAAATATTTGTGTTAAAAATTTTTTAAGGTCTCTCTTTTAAAGAATCAAATTGCACCCAGTTATCTTTTAAGAAAATTTCATCGATAATCTATAATTGGTCCTTTAGACTGAGAATCGAGTCTTTACTCTTAGTTTTTGCTAAAAGTCCGACCGAATTAAATTGTAGCTTTTGGTTTATAAAGCCAATTTTTGTTCTTTGTTTTTCTAAAATACCTGTTGGAATACTGTCAACTTTTGTTACTTTGTGAGCAACAATATTTTTTAAATAAAAAATTGCTATCTTATAGATTTTTTTATGGTCCAAAAACGTTTCATTTAAAAGCACATTTCGACCCTTTAAAAATATTTTTATTCATGACACACTTTAAAAAAATTATAGCAGGAGATTGGCCACACTGTACAAGTGAAACTTACGTTACATATCTATTTTATCCATAACCAATATACATATGTACATACATATTCATTTCCTTTTGCTTAAGGTTAAATTTTTTGTCTTTTTTCTATCTAGAGCCCTCCCTCAAGCCGTGTTCGTAAACAGCGTTATGTGATTTTATAATAGTAACGAAGCCATAAATTTAAAAAAAAAACGGCTACGACAACAAGTAACTTTTATATCGAATATTTTTTTTTAATTACCTGAAAATTTGGATAAATAAGCAAAGATAACATAACATAATATTAACAGTCTATACCACCTAAAGCAGTTTTCTAAGTTCATCAGAAGATGGAGACTTTTGAAAGTTTATAAATAAGCATGATAGCGACTTTTGCAAGAGTATTTATAATTTGACTAGAGTGCCAGTTACTGTCGAAATTCGACAGTTTTTCTAGTTTTAGAAGCCTTGTAGAGGTTTTCTAACTTAACACGTAGCAAAACTTATACGGTACAAATTAACTAACCGGAAAATCTTCTGTTGGTCTTTGGAGGACCTCGGCAGGACTTCGAATTGACCCGATACATTCAAGTTTATCGATAAATTTCAATGATTTGATACATATCGATAGTTCGATGAATTTCAAGAACACTAAAATTCGATAACTCAACAAAAATCGTTAACTCGACCAATTTCGATAACTGTGAAATCCGATGGCTCGATAAATTTCGATAACTGAAAAATGTAAAAACTTTTGATACCTTTATAAATTTTTACTTTTGACATCTCCACATTTTTCGAAAACTATCTAAACATTTTGATAACTCGTTACACTCTGTTAAGACGATTAAATTCCATAAGCAGTGATAAATCGATCAGCTTATATAACCTTGAAAATCCGATAAATCGCTATATTTTGAAAATTCCATAAACTTCGCTTCGTTGAACCAATCAATTTCAGTAGATCAATAATTATCGATAATTCTGTAAGTTGAAAGAGCTCCATGCATTACGTCACCTCGATATATTTCGTTAAGTCTATAAATAATGATCATTCAATAAATATCGATAACTTGATACATTTCTTTAACTTGACAAATTTCGTTAATCCCACATGTTTTTATAGCTTGATAACTATCCGTAAATTTGGACAACTTAGTTTCTGTGTCTATAAATTTCGACAACTCAGTAAACATTGATCGGTTTGAATAATTCGATACGGTGCGATAACTTAATAAGCATGGATAAATTTCGATAATTATAAACTTCGATGATTCGATAAATTTCAGTAACCTTTATGGCTGATTTTATTTCGATTCCTATCGGAAAATTTCAGCTCTGTTAAAATAATTCTTATGTATTTCTCATTGTCTCCATTTTCGCCTTTATCTCAATTTTCGACTTTATCTTCACTTTTGCCTTTTTTTGTCTTCATCGTTATCACTTGTTTCTTCATCTTCATATTTATCTTTATTTCAAAGTTTAATTTCAAATACGAAGTAAAACCAAATGCGAAACCGCTTAAATTGAATAGGTTGCAGAAACAACCATACACAAATATGGAAATTTTTAAACGACGATTTTCAACCAATTTCGAAACTATAAAAACTCTCCTCATCTACAGAAAATTACTTCTCCAACGGTGTTTTTGGATTTGAAATCGGTAACTTTACCTTGGTCTTCATCTTTGTTTTTATCTTTCACATCTTTGCTTATATCCTCTTCTTTTTCTTCTCACGTAGATGAGATGAGGTGCGATGACGTGATAAGATGTGACGTGATTTTATGTGATGTGATAGGATGTCATGTCATGTGTTGTCATATCCTGTGATATCATGTCATATGATGTCATACCATACGATGTCATATTATGTGATGTCAAGTCATGTGATGTCATGCCATATAATGTGATGTCACGTGATATCGTGTGATGTGATATCATATTATGTGATGTAATATCATGTTATGTCTCTTTATATCATGTGATAAAATGTGATGTGATGTCATGTAATGTGATCACATTCGATGTTCCGATTAGTATATCGATAACACTGTTGGTAACTGTGTCGATAAAAATACCGATAACAATATCCATAAACATATAGAAAAATACAATGATTGTAAGATCGATTAATTCATCGATAAATATAACAATCATCAGTATCGATTATTGTACATATCGTTAAAAATATAAATGACTAAATCGATAACAAAATCAGTTATTTAATCGATTATTATACCTATCAATATCGATAAAAATATCGATTATTATTATTGATTATTATATCGATTACAATAGCGGTTATTTAATCAATAACAGTATCGATAACAATATAGATTATTTTATCGATAGCAATATCGATTATTATATCCATAAAAATATTGAGTTTTATATCGATAACAATATCGATCTTCACCTCATCCTTTTCTTCATATTTATCTTCATTTTTGCATATTCCTCTCACCTTTACCTTAAAGTGTTTAAATTTACTTTGATCGTCGTTTTTGCCTGAACCTCTAGGCATCTTTGTTTTTGTTTTTGTTTTTGTTTTTGTTCTCAAACCGTTAAGCCGCTGAGTACCATTTCCATGTGCATTATTCCCCTCGAATTTGACGATTTACTCCCAACCAACTGCCGCTAAAGAAGTTTCACTTCATAAATTCAAGAAATGTTCTTACCATTTCAGTTACCCTAATTCTTATGTATCGGTCATTGTCTCCATTTTCGACTTTATCTTCACTTTTGCCTTTTTTTTTGACTTCATCGTTATCATTTATTTCTTCATCTTCATATTTATCTTTATTTCAAAGCTTAATTTCAAATGTGTAGTGAAGCAACAGGCGAAACATGTCAAATTGAACATGTTGCAGCAACATGTATACACAATTCGAAAATGTTTAAACGACGGTTTTGGCCGTAATTTTCAACCAATTGTGAAACCATAAAACTCTGCTCAACTACGGAAAAATGCCTTTCCAACGGTGTTCTTGGTTTTGAAATCGGTTCCGTAGAATCGCCAAACGAAAGGAGACAAAATTTATGTTAGCGTACTAATATATAGATGCTATTTTTTCAGAATATAGAAAGATTTTGCACTGTGCTGTTAGTGAACATGAAACTACTTTAACTACTGGTTCGTTACTCACCCAAAAAATAAAAATCGGAACAAATTTACATAGCGCACTTTGCAAGTGGACTACTCATTTGTGTTATTCTGTTTTCCTTTATTTTCATTTTTGTCTTTATACTCTATTGATAACAAAATCGATAGTAACGTCCCTCCAAATACCGACATCAAAACCGATAAAAATATCGATAACAAAATCGATGAAAAATTCGACAAAAATTTCGATAGAAAAATCTATAATAAGATTGGTAGATAAATCAATTAGAAAGTCGATAAAAATATTGATAACAAATTTTATAAAAAATATCGATAACAAAATCGACAGAAAAAATCGATTAGAAAATAGATAAAAATATCGATAACAAAATCGGTAAAAATAACGATAACAAAATTGATAAATAATCAATAACAAAATCAGTAAAAACATCGACAAAACAATCAATAAAATATCGATAACAAAATCGTTGACAAACTCAATAAAATTTTCCATAGCAAAATCGACTTTTTCGTAGCAAATTCGATTAAAACATCTATAAAAATATCGATAGCAAAATCGATAAATGATCAACAACAGAATCAAACAGAACAGACATTGAAGATGACACATTTCCCAAACCGGTTCGCCTTCCAACTAAACTTGAGAAGAGATTACGGAAACTCGTTCCAAAATACATCGTTAACATAAATTTCAAATCGGATCTGATGAGTCTGCTTAACAGTCTTTCTTGTACCTTTGTCAGGAAGGATGTTAAGGCCCAATCAGTTGTTCCATGCCATAGCCATAGCAATGATCAGATGAAACGGAGAAGCATCACTGTCTTGTGCTTTTTCATATGTTTGTTAAATTTGTGCAAATCAATTGAAAATAGGTCTGCGTATACATACAATCTTTCAAAAACGATTTACGATCGCAGACATTTTGCCATCGCTTCTTTTAGCTGGCCTCAAATAAATCGCCTTTTGAGTTAAGTATTTATTTAAATAAATATTATCTCATCTAAATATAATTTTTTTCCATTTACTGAGGTAATTTCTAAAAATTTTGTAATTCTCGTGTTAGTAGTATAAAATTACTGATACTGAGCTCGATAGCCAAAGAAAATACGACTATTTCCGCAAGTGTATATGAAAGGAGAGTATGGGACATAAATTTATAAGAATATCTGCTTGGCAAAGTTATCGGTTGAGATATGTAAATACCACTAGTATTTTTATTTTTTCTTAAACCAAAATTTAACCGTTTTCAGTAACTAAGTATGTGCGAAGGCATTTTAATGCCCCCATTTTTCAACTAAACACGATTGGCGATTTCTGATTTAGCATACACATCAATAAACTCAAAATTTTTATTTCTACATATTTCTTAAACCTCATATGCTAATTAATATTCCAATTCCTATCTGCACTACATAGTTATCAAATCACGACCTCTACTCATTGGAAGCCAATTTGGTTAACAAGTCAATGCGAGAATTGGCAAATGGCGAAGAGAAAGATCCAATTACCAAATTACGTTTGTTATGTCTGAGTCGCGGTGCAACTGGTATACTCGGTTTTGGCAGGTAAGTGCAACTGTTGAAGGTACTACTCACACACACATACATATACCTATGTATACATATGTATGTACATCATGCATTTATGAACTAAAAGTTCTTAGAAAGAAGCTATGAAACCAAATTACAATATACTATGTATACATATGTACATTAGAGCGGTCCTAAAAAAAATTTTCCGAGATAAGCTTTGGGGCACCTTCCGAAATTGCTCCTCTTGCCGAAAGAGTGCTCGTACCAAACTTTATGTTTCTATGTTTAAATTTGGAGGATGCTCATGATGCTCATATTTTGCTTTAGAAGTAGTAGTTAAGCAACCTAAGAATACTTCAAATTTAAATTGTCTGAAAAAATATTTCAAGCTTCAGTTGTCATAGCAACAGTAGCTTTTAATAAAAATCACCAATATTTTTGCCAGTTTCTCAGCGATCCAGTATCGAAAATTGAAAGTTAGTACAGATATTACAATTATCAAAAGGAAAAAA